ATAAAAAATTCAGTAGAGACAGGATTCAAAGTTCTTTCCGCGCTAAGAACTTTGAATCCTGTCTCTACTGAATTTTTTATTTTATGAAGATTTTTTTGACAATCCTTCTATTCAGAGTTATCCTCCCCATAATAATCTGATAGCACTTTCCATGATCCATTGGACATTTCTTGACTTGGCTTTGATTTTTGTTTGTTTATTTTTTGCAAAATTTCTATGGGAATTGTGGTTTCCAGAAAAAAATGTTTCTTCTTTCCAGACACGACCCCACAAAACTTTTCCTTGGCGCAGTTTTTTTGCAAAAACATTTGTTTTTGTTTTTTTGGGATGTAGCATTCTCGGTAAAAATTGCCTCTTGATGATGGTTCTTGATAAGCCAAGGGATTGCTTAGATATATTGACAATAGTCAACCTGAAATTTTACAGTCATTTTCTATGCAAATATTGAACCTTGAAATTTATTGCTCAATTCCTCTCTTCTAGTTTTTTCTCTAAATTAATTCCTTTTTATCATCGAATAAATATCGGTACCAAAAGTGGCGGAGAATACCTCAGATGCCATTCATAACACCATGCACCCACTCAGTGATATCATTTCTCAACTTTATAAAAAATATCCGAATTACCTGAAAATCTCCAATGAAATCATCGAAATATTGACAACTAAATTTGACGACTCATTCATTATTTATGATAATTACTACGTATTTATGTTTGACAATGTATCCATTGAAGCATAGAAATTCTCTGGAAGAGGAATCTTGACGACTTGACGCAGCTTATAGCTTCATATATTTGAATGAATTGCTGAGAAGTCATAAAGTGTTATTGCTTCCTGACGAGAAGCCGAGGAGAAGCGATTTATAGATTGTTTGGGGGTTCCGTCATTCTTATATTTGTATGAGAAAGTCCACCAGCAGTTTCATTGCTTAATATATCTCATGATACTGTTGAATGAAGGACTATTGATATGATTAAAGCTCAAATCAATGAATCATTCTTTTTTGTCTACCTCTTCCATCCATTTTATCACTATTATTCTCCATAGGAGTCGTTTTATCATCCTGACGAGCTGGTGTGCCCGGCGTTACCCAGGCAACTGTTTTTTTCTGCATCTTACTTTGAATGGAAAATGATTTGTCAATTCATTCTTTGGTGGTTTACCCAGGTTCGGAATGAAAAGTTGCAGGCAGCTGTATGTTCGATACAGCTGTAATTGTACGTGGATACGTCCATGGTCTTTCCTTGTTTCTCAAATTTCCTAGAAACTCCTTGCATACCCTCGAATTTTCTAGAAACTCCTTGAATTCTCTTGAATTTTCTAGATACTCCTTGAATTCCCTCGAATTTTCTAGAAACTCCCTGAATTTCCTCGAAATGCCTAGAATTTTCTAGAATCCCGATAGATGGCGCTGCGTATAAGGACCATTTCCCAAAATGACCCCCCATATTGAAACCATAGACGTATCCACAACAATATCTAGACTGACCTTACCACTGCACCAGATATTTACACTCTTTGATTTATACGATGTTAACTCTTTGATTGCCAATTTACGACTGACGGCGGAGCGTGCCGATCCGCACTTTTAATTTTGAATCTAGAAATTTCTGCACTGGAAATTTCTATAACTAACAACCTGTCGGTATCTTACCGATCGATCGACGGTTGGTAATGTGTCGACAGTCAGCATCGGCGATAGATGACACGGCTGCATAAGCATTTTTTTACCGAATGACCCCCCAAAACGAAACCATAGACGTGTCCACGTCAAAAATAAAAATCATGAGCTTCACTCATATTTTTCTAGAACTCTCAATTCTTTCGAATTTTTAACAAACTCCTTGCATTCCCTCGAATTTCCAGAAATTCCTTGAATTCCCTCGAAATTTCTATGAGGTAAATGTACTTATGCTCGTCCCTGTCCCTACGCTCGTTCGGATGTCGCGAGCTATGAGATTTTAATCATTATTGAATAATAAGAGAGAAAAATCCCATTCACATTAACTAGTGCTATGACAGAGTGAATTCTTAAGCCGCAAATTAAGAAACTCACCTTTTTAAAATGTTGATATCTCCGTTATAGCAGTAAAATGGGATTAAAAATCCCTCAACTGAGGTTTTGGATACTTACAAATTCAACAAAAATTCATAAATTATAGTAATTTCTAAACATTTCACTGAAATATCGGCAATTAGAAGAATAGGTTCAATGAAAATGGCATGATCCTATACTCGTTTTCCAACCAACTGTCGACTGGTATAGTCGGGCCAAAAGTTCTTTTTCCTTTGGAGAAAATGATTTTCCTTTGTTTTCACTGACAAATCAACAATTTGACAATAGAAACCATGGAAACTCGTTACCTGAAACTAAGTTCAGGTGAGAAAAGAATTTTTGATTGGACTATAACGGACTAAACGGATGAAAAAATCGTTCGAATGGTTAGACTGTCCAATTGAAATATAATATTGTACCTCGAGATATTTTTTAATGTTGTTTTATCACAAAATAGGATACTCACGAAGTAATTAGTTCAGATATAACCTTTCCATATAACTCAAATCACGAGACGAGGATATGGACATGTGTCAAACGTGCATGGGGACAAGTGAGCGAGCGTATCGGGACATGGGACTTGCCATATTTACGAACGATTATTTATTAAAAAAATAATAATTATCATGATTAATGACTTTTCCAGAAATTTTCACTTTGCTCGCTATAACTTGCGAAACCCTTGAATTTTCTGATAATAATTTATTTTCACATATATACCCTTTCGGATTTTTACATTTTGTTCCCTTCCCAAATCCCTTATAACTAGGTATAATCGAACTTAAATAATAATACCTTTTTATTATCAAAACCTTGAATTTTCTATAATTTCCTCGAAGATGCAAGAATGTGATCCAGAACACTGCCGAATTTTCCCCAATTCTTCATAAAACACCGGGATTTTTCAGATTTTTCGAAGAATCTGAAGACTTTTCAGGAAATGCTAAAAATTTCAAGAAAATGTGTCATTACAGAAATGGATATAGTTTGTCTCATAATAACCACCATTGGACATTCTCAAGTTTCCCCGAAACGTCTAGAAATTTCATATACCATTAGGGAAATTCAGTTTTTTTCATCTCTGAGAAGCATCCATCATTTTCTAGAAAATTCGAGAAACCTCCAAAAAGTTACGGAAATTTCTAGAACTTTCTGCATTTCACCCCCTCAGTGGTTGATTTAACCCGTCCGTAGGTGCGCGGTTTCACCAGCATTCTTGAGGCGCGCGATGAGAGAGTCCCTCAGCGGCTTCTCGTAAAAACAGAGCCAAATATTGCCACATGTGATAAAAAAAATTTTTCTACTCAACCCTGACCGCTAAACGACTTTTATCACCACCCGACTCAACTAAAAAAGTTACTTGAGACATTTAAAAAATGTCAGCAAAATATTTGCACTTCTAGGGTATATTTCCTATGGAGTGAAATTTTTTGTGAGGGGAAACGCTCATAGCGCGTCTACTAACGGGTTAAAAAAAAAGAAAAAACATGTATCTATTAATTTCGAAAGAGGAATCTACATACGAATTTTCAAGTCTCTAACTTCAGCGGTTTTCGAAATCGCCTAAAAATATTTGCTTCCTTTTCACTTGCTTAGGGGATGAATTTCCAAAAACCCTTTCTTAGTGGGTGCTTACGTCACCAAGGGAAGCTGTAGGCAAAAGCTCATGGTCGTAGCTCTAGTAGTTCGGGATATGTGAAAACAGGCTTCTCCTTTATAATATAAGATTGGCAAAAAAAAAGCAGCCAATTAGTAACAATTTAAAAAGTGAATCTTTGTAATTTTGTAATATTTACAATCGACTATCCGCTATTAAAGAAAAAGTCCCAATTAAAAGAGATGACAGTCAGTTTTTTCTATATCATTTACCTCATAATAAACGAAACGTCCGGATTAAGTGAGATAACGCCCATAAGACCTAAAAGTTGGTTTGTCTGAAACATAGAACACATTTTTATAATCCTCTAATCATTGAATAACTACAAATTCGAACCGTTAAAATTATCATCGTCACCGAAATAATTGGATCACGTGATTGAATTAATAAAGAAGAGGTGCGCAACGGTTCGAATCAATACAGCTTTCTCATTATTTTGTGGTAATCTTCTTAAAAATGATTCTAAAACGAAATGTCATAAAACCTGTTTTATGGTGAATTTAATTTCATGCAAAAAAATGTTTACTGACATTTTGTAATAGATCGAATGTTTTATGAAATAATTGCATAACTAATAAAAATTTCACTTGGTATTTGAAAGAAACGCATCCATCATGCCATTACCTCGGTCACTCTCAGATTGAGAAAAAAATTTTAAAGCAGTTTTTCTTCTCTCAAAATTTTATGATCTGTCAAAACGAGCTCTGGATATCTCCATAATTAACACAATATTAGTCCTAATTGGAATATTTAAGAAGCAATTTTCGAATCATTCCTCTAATGAGTGGTTGGATGAAAAATCATCTAAAGATCGTTTTGGTAGCTAGCTGATGAAATTCTTCACAAAAGACCTCATTAATATGATTAATTTTTAAAAGGAATCCCAAATTTTTCAAAAATCGCACAATGAATACGCAATTTCTACTCTCTGAAATTTCTTCCATCTTTCAAAATTTCATATTTAATTTACAACTATCACTCGGCACGACACTATCAATTAATAACTCTCCCCAACCTTCCCCGGCCTGCATTAATCATATAATTTGCATGTAGTATGTTTCATTCGACTTTATCCAATGTCAAACTGGGACTGAGGACGCTAATTAATCCAATTATGCAGGAGAAAGAAAGATTTGAGCTCAGTAAAAGTTCTAATACTTTGCATAATTCACGGAATGAAGAATCAATATAGAAATACTTGTCTGCTTACATTGAATTTTGCAGCAATTTATCCCAAAATATGAAAACAGCTGGAGGAATCATTTTTTGATGATAACTTTTCGTAGGTCCAATAGATAGTAAACAAACTAAAAGACCTGGAACCGGCAATGATGAGCCACAGATGACTGTTAGCCGAGCCCGTTTAGCTCTCTTCCATCTTTAATATGAGCAAAGCAGTCGGAGTGCCTACTGGTGGACAAAATCACCAGGAGTGTGTGGGAAGCATCAAACGACACAAATCATCAAGCTGTAATGTACCACTCGTACACGGCAGATCAAATCCACCAATCAACGGACGCAACAGACTGACCACTCATCAACGAAACCATAGCTTGGACTTTAGGTACATGGCAAAACCCATTGTTCTTCATTTGATTATCATTATTTGTTTGTACTTCATGTTTTATAGTTTTTTATTTAATGATTTTACGTTATCGATGTTACGGAGGAATGACTGGAGATCTCGAAAAGTCGTGTTTTTCTTTGCAGGAGAGAAACTCACATCGAAAAATATGTGACACTGGGCTAATTTCATGTATTTATTTATTTTGCCACATGTATACCCTCTCGGGTCTTTACATTTTGTTCCCATCCCTTAACACTTCAGAACTCGCGCTATAAGCGCCGCGCCGCCTTTTTCAAATTTTCGCTTGCCTCTTGCAAAATTGAGCTTTCAAAAAATTGAAAAAATTAGAATGCCTAGCTTGAATCATTTAGAATGGATTAGCAAGGTTCTTATCCGCTGAAAATCCATCAAGGCTACGAAAAATAATAAATTGTTGAGGCTCATACGCAAAAGCGGCGCCGTGCCGCCCAGCGCGAGTAACGAAGGATGTAAAATTTTCAATTCCGCTGTTGCTGTTTCCCGCTCGCCGCACGCTCGGCGCGTACCTATGAACGTGACAACGCTGCGTTACTGAAAGCACAGGCGGCGCAGCGCTCACCACGCGAGTAACGAAGTTCGGTGGCTGAGCGCGAGTTCTGAAGGGTTAAATACTAAGAACCCTGTTGTGTAATAGTATGCATTTTGAGTTACAATCAGTATACAAAATATAAAAGAAAACATAAATGCCATAGGGGCTGTTGTCTTAACTAGAGAAAACATGAATGCCATAGGGGCTGTTGTCTTAACTAGTAACAATATATATTTTAAACTTCACATAGTACCAAATACATATTCCTCTTTGACTAGTGTCAGGAATACAATCTTTTTATAGTCCCTGAACAGTAGGTCTTTTGAAAAAAAAAAACAAAAGAGAAGAAAAGAAAATTATGAGTACATTTTAATTGACTGCCCCTTCCTTCGACCTTTTTTCGCATGAAATCCGGGGACTTGAAGTGCTGTAATACTAAATGAAATATAGTAGAACGTAAAATCGGGGACTCACGTAGCCATCACCCACGCCATCAAAATCGGTTAGCCGGGAGTACTCCTCGGCCGCGTCGTCATCATAATCACGGCTCTTAGTTTCCTTCCCCCCATCCACTCCTTGTGTGCCTATGAAACATTTATGTGATAAAATGAATTGAAATGAAATGCTCAGTAGGAGGCACATTAGGAAGCAGGTGCCGGCGAACTGCTCTGCACCTCCTCCCTCCTCCTGATGAGCTTTTCCCACTCCCTGAAGAATTTACACAGCTCCGGGATCGGTCTTCCCCCCAATAGCTCTACAATTGACTCTTCCCTACCAAGGATTCTCCAATCGTCCCAAACTTCTTTTAGGACTCCCCCTTTTATAATATCACAGCTCAGGATATGCTCCAAATCTTCAGAGCCCTCCCCACATAGTCTACAGCTCATGTCCTCATATCCCTTGTTTCCTGCCTTCCCAACATTCCCACCGCGCAAGCGCGCCCATATCACCTTGTTCCCCCAAGACACTCTTTTCATTCGCCAGTAGCAGAACTCATCGTCCCTCTTCCTCAGGAACTTATAATTTGGATTAAACCTGGATCGAAGAATCTTCTCCCTGTCCGAGCTATGTACCTTCTCCCTCCCTTTGTCTAGGTACTCTCCTACCTGTTCCCCAAATTCTTTATTCTCAAGATCTCTCAGAATCCCCAGTAGTTCCTGACCTTCCCAATCACCTAGAGCCCCCTCCAGTTCCCTACCCCAGGCCGAGGGATTTCGATTGCTCAACGCTCTGATTTCCTCCTTCAGACATGATCTAACCAGCCTATCCTCTTCCAGTCTACTCACTTCTCCTAGGAAGTGAAGCACACGTCTTCTGGACTCAAAGATAACACTCTCCCTACCGCTATCAGCCCTCCACAGATAGTCGGGCGTGATTTTGGGGACACCCATCCCCATTTTCGTGACCCTCCCTTGAACTCGCTCCATTGGTGGTCTTTCCTTTAGCCCCCAGATTTCTGTTCCGTATATCGCCCCTGCTTTACCCAGTGTATTTAGGATATACAGTCTGCTATTCAGAGAATGAAGCCCCGCTCTAGCCGACACCCCCCACGCCGCGTTAACCGCTCTTGCCCCCTTTCCCGCCATTTTACGGATGTGCACCCCACTTGAATTCCTAGATGAGAAGCAGTAACCCAAGTATTTGAAGCTGTTAACTACTTCAACCCCCTTTCCATTGATCTTCCATCGTTCTCCCTTCTTCCTGCGTCCCCCCCCCCCTAAAGATTCAAATCTTGGTTTTATTTACGTTAATTTCCAGTTTATTCTTGACAACATACCTCTCAGCAGTGTCCAGCATGCTTTGTAGACCACCTGCGTCCTTGGCCACAACCGCGATATCGTCTGCGTACTTTAGACAGTAGACTTTCGCTTTTCCAATGACCGATCCCCCTTCATTCTTTCTGTCCCATTTATCATCAGTGTCCTCCATGAACAGATTAAATAGAATTGGACTTAGTGGACATCCTTGTCTAACCCCCCTTCCCGTGAGAAATCTATCAGTGATCCCTGACCCCGTGATAACCTCATTCTCTGTGCAGCTGTAAATAGCCCTAACCATATCATAGAAGCGAGCCCTAATACCCACCTTCCACAATTTCTCGAGGAGCAAGTGTCGAAGGCTGCTCGTAGGTCAACAAATGCTGTATATAACTTACCCCCTTTATTCTTTATTCTGTTTCCTATCAGCGAATTGAGGATGAATATTTGTTTCCTTGTTCCTCTTTTCCTTCTGAACCCCCCCTGACTCTCCCTGAATTTTCCTTCCCTCTCCAGCCATCCTCCCAATCGTTTAGCCATGATGCTGGCCAGCATCTTATACCCCAGATTTAAAAGCGAGATCCCCCTGTAGTTTCCTACGGCATTCTCGTCCTCTCCTTTGTGAATGGGAAAGATGCGTGCCACCTGCCATCCATTCATCAAAACTCCTGATTCCCATCCCTTTTGCACTACCTTTTATAATTCATCCTTCCAATTGTCAGGTAAATTCTTCAGAAATTCTCCAGTGATCCCATCTTCCCCTGCCGCTTTCCCATTCTTCAAGGCTTTCAGCGCTCCACCTAACTCTAGGTATGTGATGTCGCCGTCCAGCTCCTATACTTCAACCCACTCTTCCCACCCTTCCCATTCCCTGTCCTCATCCCTATCCAAGTTAGCCCCCCCCCCCTCCAGTTGATTCGCCATCTGGTTTAGCCAATGTTCGTCTGATATGGACGTCCCCTTCCTCGCCTCACGGGCTCGGCATTCCCTGAGAGCCTTCCAGAATTCCCCCATGTCCCTACTCACCTTAACCCTATTTTTCTTTTCCTCAGCTAATTCTTTCAGTTTATCTTTGGCCATTTGCTTCATTTTAGCTTTTTCTTTCGAAAAAGACTTCCCTGTCACTCGCTTCGTGACTACGGAGGTAGCGTTTCAGTAGGTTGAAGATTATGCTTCTTTGAATCTTATATTCGTCCCCCAGCCACGCGAAATCATCTTTTGGACGTCACTTCCCTACCCTTTTAATCATCCCTGTCTCTTTCGCTGCCTCAAAGATGGCAGCTTTGATTTTTCCCCAGCGAGCATTTATATCCTCCCCTTCCTCTGACTCAATCCCCTTATTTCCTAGGTAGTTCTGATAGGATTCACCAGACACTGGTCTCCAGACGAGTTTAATCTCCCCTTCCCTAGATTTCTCCGCCCCCTCTTCCCTCTTTGGCCCTTGGGGCAACCTAGGCGCTACTCCACTGGGCCCCCTCAGGGTTAGAGCAACCCGTAGATGGTCCGAGTCAATTGTAGGCCAAATATTAATCCCCTCCAATACATGAGGATCCCCTTCATGGAGTACCAGATCAATGACCGAGCCGTCCACATCCTCCCGGTTCCCCACGAAGGTGATGGGTCCTTCCCAGTCCCCTTTGATAGCACCATTAGCCAGTACCAAACCCTCAATATCACAGAAATTTATCAGTTTCCTCCCATCCCTAAGTATTTTCTCGTCCCTGGATTTCCGCTGAAAGCACTCTTTCCCATCCCCAGCCTGTAGTGTGCCCACTCTGGCGTTAACATGATAGACATAATTATGATACTCTCCTATTTCTCTACCTTCATCTATAACATCACATTTCTTTTAGCAATTGCTCAATCCCTACATTATTGTACCCTGCAATCAGTCTACATTTCCTCCCCCCCCCTTGGCTAGCTTTACCCCAGAGATAACTGCCCCATTAGAGCAAGTCTTGAGTTTAATATCATTTCCCAGGGTATTCCTGGTCACCACTAGTATCCCTCCCATGCCCCTCCCCTTTTTCTTCCTTTTGATAGCCCCTTGGTGAACCCACGTAAAATCGCTTGACAGACTTTCGACTCTCTTCATTAGCCCCTTTCCAAGCTCGCTGAACTTTCCCCCCATTAAGCCCAGCAACGTTCCAGCAGGTGGCCCTAATGTGAGTATTCCCCCCCCCCTCTTCAGGTAGTCAATTATTAATGTCAATGTTACCACCGTTTGAGATCCTCCCACCGGTGCTCTCATCTTGGCTCTCCATGTCCACCAGTTCAGCTCTCTTCTCGTCCCATTTAAACTCCACGTTGTTCAGTAAGATGCTCTGTTGGAAGCTCAGGACTCTCGCGCGTCTCCCAAGGTCCCTTGCGCGCCTAGCCAGCGCCTGAAGATATTCAGTCACCTCGGTCTGTCTCAGAGTTAGATCATCCTCCCACGTGATTCCCACTCGTTTCAGCTCCCTTTGATTATACCCCTTCATCAGTGCTGATTTTTACGTATGGATGGCCAGCTGGATGAGGAAGTCTCCTGAGGGCAGTGTCTTGACACCCAGTACTTTAAGATTCAGCTTAGTGACAGACTTAACAGCAGTAACGAAGGCCACCGCTTCCGTCCCCGGGAAAGCATTCAGTCCTTTTACTATCACGTTGTTCTCCCTCTTCCTCCTTACTTT